AAAAAATACTTTATTTTGACAATTTTATCCTTAAAAAATGAAAAACAATTAAGGCTGAGATCCAATGCCTTCTCATTCGGTCAATTTGTAAGGTGCCGTGGCGGACTGTGCTTTAAATGTGCTTTAAATGTGCTTTAAATTCTCGTCGAATTTAGTTTTGGTTGGCCATGTTTTGGATCATATGTGTTAACTTCAAATAAATACTCTTTAAGCCTAGTATTTTCAAAACAAAACAAAACAAAAGATAATTCGGTGGGTAAAAGCTGTTAATAATTGATGACATAAGTCTACAAGGGGGTGAAATGGTCTAAAACCAATGCTGGAGTTTTCAATTTTTAATTGCGATGCTCAACTGGATTTTTGAAAATGTATGAGCCAAATGATAGAAACAATTTTATTCGAAAGAAAGTAACAAATTTTAAAATCATCAATCGTAAACTGTTATGTTAAACTGTATGATTTAAGAAGTATTCGGCTTGACATAGTTGTAGCCAGTCGATATAATTGTATAGTCGATACAAATGATTGTTTAAAACATAAAATGATGGCTACCATGTCACAAAACATTGCTTTTATAGGACATGATTCGTATTATAAAATATTTCTTTGGTTTTTCCCTGGAGACTTATACCTTAATATACCTCTAATTAATTGGGTGGATGTTTATTCAAGTCTACAAACAAATAATTTCAAAACACAATTCGTTGATATCAGGACCTGCTAAAGCTAACTGAATTATAGATACGCTTTTGAGAGAAGTTTCCTCCACGCAGGTTTGATGATGTTAGACTATACACAAGCTTGAACTTGACTTTACTCTTGAGCACGCTCCGTTTTGTGCTGAGTCATAGTCTTAGTCAACTATTGAGCAAGAAAAAGAAAAACAAGATTGAGAGATTCACGAAACAAAATCTTAAAAATTATGATTGCAAAAAATCGAGTGTACCTTTTGTAAAGTGAAAATCAACCCGAAGTTTTCATATAGAAAAAATATGTCTCACATTTTTGTATGGTAGTGTATATAGCGGGTCAATAGCGCATAAACTGGCTCATGAAAAAACACTACTTTATTTAGATATCTGTCTCTTTTTGCATGCTTAGAGCGACTACCGTTCGCTATACTTAGTAAGACATGTTTGCCGTTCAGTAATGGCATTTAAGAAGCTTTCCTTGACCATTTCTAATTGGGAAATACGTAACTCTTTTGATTTAACCATGTACGCACGTGAAATGAAACTGTTTTTAGTATCCGTTTCCTAACGACACGTGTCATATTTCACGCACGCCTTTTCGCATCAAGCTTTAAACTTGTCGTGGGCGTTTCCTACCGTGCGTCTTGCGTGTATAAGATATGTCATACTGCTTAAAACAAAGTAAAACAATGCGGGCTTCTGCAGTCTGTTCTGTACAGGCCACATAATTCAGTCACTATGCTCTAAAATTTCATGATTTCACTACAGGTGAGATTAATAACTACAATGGGTGCCCAAGAGTTCTTTTACTTACCAGCTTTTGTCTTCCTGTTGCTACTGTTTCATCCAGTAAATACTCAATACCATCGTGATACACGCGAAGTCTCTTTTTTTGGTATGATGCTTCAAAACAACATCTTTAAAACAATCACTGGAGCAGCACTCGGTGATGTGTGTTTGCTGGAATGTTATCGTGACGTCAGATGCCAAAGCTTTAACTATGTATTCACCCAAGACAAATGTGAGCTTAGCGACCGCACGAAGGAAGCCAGGCCTGAAGATTTTGTACCCAACTCTGAGAGATATTACTTCAGGCGAGATATGAAGAGAGGTGAGCATTTAGGTTCTTTTGTTCAGCTAACTGTCTTAGAGGGGAGAGAAATCAGGTTTTTTTGTTTTTACTTCCTTGTTTTCTAGCTCATCTCGGTTCCATTCTAGAGCTGCCTGCAGACTCATGTAAGGAAATCAAGTCAAGTGAAGGTGGACAAGCTGTCAGCGGAAAATACTGGTTGAATTTCATCAAACCTGACACTCCTGTCTTGGCTCACTGTGACATGAAGACCGAAGGTAGAATGAGACAGTTTAACAGAACGCATTTGCACTAAAAAGGATTGTATTCCTGAAAAAGACTGTCACTGTCAAAGTGTTACTAACCCCCCAAATTGTTTTCGATAAAATTAATCTTTTTGTCCTATTAAAAACAAAGTCGAAAAACTCAATGCCGCGTTTATTTTAGTTATATTTCTTATGAATTTTCAAATATCCTTCATGTTAACGACCGAGAAATAGGGGTTAGCTCATGACATCATCCCGGGAACCGATTCGACATCATTCACATCATTTAGTAAGAAAGCAGTCACGCTACAAATTCGTAAAGAACTAGGGAATTATGCCCGGAATGTGTGTTGTTGGAGACTGCAGCAGTACAGCTTCCTTAGAAGAAGGTTCGCTCTTCTTACCATCCCGTATTCGGAGGACAACCGCCCTGAAGCGAAGAAACGCAAAAATTAATAGGTCGATTTCTCTTACATGTGTTAATGGGCTGGCGTGACTCCCGTCATTCATGAGCGATTTCATGTATTTAGTCGCACTCTTCGTAGTTGTGGTTGTTATTTATTTATTTATTTTTCTTGACTGTGATAACTTAATTGACAAGATTTTTTATGAACAATGTATAATTTTGTTCTAAACTATTTGGATATTCATTGACAGATGCTGACGAATGTAATGCGTCCATTAGTGTTTGTGATGTGAACGCTAACTGCAAAAACACTCTGGGATCGTATCGCTGCTTTTGCAGAGCCGGTTTTTCTGGAGATGGACATACCTGCAAAGGTGGGAAGAAAGTTAAAATACTATTACTCCATTAGAAACACGATCTGAAACTTTTTACGGCTTGAGAGTATTCTTTCAAATCATAGTTCAAGATGACGTATTGTTAGTGATCTGATGGTAAAGTTTTTTAATCCCTTTAAACGAGTTACGCCCCGGTATTATAGAGTGATTCATTTATTCGTAGACGTTGACGAGTATAACGCCTCTATCCCTGCCTATGATGCCAACGCTAACTGCAAGAATAACGTAAGCTGTGTTCCCCCTGAAAACCATATGATCCCCTCCAATATCCTCTCCCACGTCCCCTTTCAGTGATAGTACATAATTACTAGTGAACTATGATTCAGGGGAAGAGTTTCTAAACTCTGACTAAGGGTTAACGTTCGAACGCAAGTTTTAAAAACTTTACATTATCAATTCATTTGATAAAAACCGAATTTGAACAGTCTTTAAAATTCAATAATACATAACTATCATATTCATGAACAGATGTTGACGAGTGTAATGGCTCTAACCCAGTTTGTGACGTTAACGCTGACTGCAAGAATACTATCGGCTCCTATAGTTGTTTTTGCAAAGCCGGATTTTTTGGAGATGGGAAAAATTGTAATAATGGTAAGGATTTAAGTGGTAAAAGCAGAAGCAATAAATGTTTGGTGTGGTTGTAACAAAGAGCATTCTGTCATAACTTTCATAGCAATTTTAGATGCTATTTTCCCTCGGGAAGTTGTCACCAGGTAAAATACTTTTTACGAAATCCCCAAAACACTTTCACTGTTGCCAACTAAGTCAGTAAAACAATAACACTTTCATGGGTATATCAATCCATATACTTGTGCGAACATTATAGGGGGAAAAAAAGAGTCATTAATATCCCAGAGTTTGACAAATTGATGAGGTAGTCAATTTTGAGCTAGTTTGATATCCAGGTGGCTTTTCGCTCACAAAAAAAAAAAAAAAAAAAAAAAAAAAGAAAATTGTGCGAGTCTGTAACAGCATTTAATCATTCAATACAAAGCATGCACTCTTCTCTTCCCGTATGCATTAGGAGACTTGAGGTAGGAATGATATTTTACTCTAAAGCGTTCATTTCGAACTTAAACCAGCGTCAAGAGAACAATGACAAAAAGCTATAAAAGAATTCTGAAACTCATATATCTGAACTGTGGTTATAGAAACGTATTCAGTTTTTGAACGATCCTCGCAGTCAAGAGTACTATTTAAGCAGTAGTGAAAATCAGACCTGAAAAAATTCAGGCCTGTACGGGAGTCGAACCACTGACCTCTGCAATACTAGTGCAGCGCTCTACCAAAGAGATGGGAAAAATTCAGTGCTATGAACTTATCAACTGAGTAGGGGGACCGAACGGTAAAACATTTGGCTCATCTCATTTCTATTCCTTTCTCACACGGAAACAAAGAAATATTTTCTGGGAACATATCGGCTTAGAAGAGCACTTGACAGTTTATACTTATATTCTATCTAACGGAAAGCAATCTGTTCAGATATATATTTTAAATAATTATAGGAATATAGAAGATACAATTATCCAACAATTGTTGGATCATTATTTCTCTACTGCCGTTCGAGATTAGAAAAACTGCTGCTTTTTCAGAATTTTAGTATCTTTTTGTTATTTCTATAGCATTTAGGGCCATCTTTACAAGTCTTGGAGCAAGTGGAAGAAACGGACCAACAACATTAGGTAGTCACTACACAGGTCAAGATCACGACGGACAAGTTGTTCTGTCTAGCGGTATTCAACAATGGACTGTGCCGTACTCTTGTGACTACAGAATAGAAGCAATAGGAGCTGCAGGAGGGTACGGACTACGCAGTAACAATGGTCAATACCGAGGGAGAGGTGCAAGAATGATCGGTACTTTCTCCTTAAATAAAAGTGAAACCATCCAAATTATTGTTGGTCAAGAAGGTGGAATCAATAACGTCTCTAACTCGGCTGGAGGCGGTGGAGGTACCTTTGTGGTGAAAGGAAACAATAGCCCTTTGATAATAGCTGGAGGTGGAGGAGGGATGGAAGTGGTCACCACGAGACATGCAGGATGCGATGCTAGCACGAGCACCGCAGGGAATCCTGGTTACAGGTCATGGACAGGAGGGAGCAATGGACATGGTGCACAAGTTGCTGATAATGGTAATTCAGGTGATCAGGTTTATTGTGACAACTGTGACATGTGTATTTTTCCCCAGTTTTACTCGTTATTGTTATCGTTGTTGTCTTTGTCCTCGCCGATCTTTTTTTTCTCCTGAAGATAACTTGTTAGTCGGACCCATCGTTTTAAGGTTAATTCTCAACCTTGCGGGAGTAATTCGGGAGAACATTCGTAGGTGCTTTATTTTCACTAAAATCCTGACAAACCATGCATCAGACGAAAGCTTAACAAATGCAGTCTAAGATAAGAATATAAAAAAGCGAGTTTGTCCTTTAGAAAGTGTCAGGAGTCGGTAAGGCTGAACCGGCCGGGTTCTTCTATTGAATTTATTTGGTATCGGATCCCGCAGCACAAGCAAAATAACTGTACAGTTTTATTCACAAGGCGCCAATCAATAAAAATGTCTCACGTTTTTTCGATATTCCGATTGATATTAAAGATATCGGCATCTAAAGTTGGAGTAAATAGCGAGGCGTGTTGCGTAAATGGACGCCATGGGACAAATATTTCAAATACCAAAATTTCCCAGCATCTGTTCGTTCGTTATTATTCCTTGAATGTTTTGGCGAAATTTGATGGAAATCGGTCAAATATAAATACCCTATGCACTCGCTCACAGTGGGTGTATTCCTCCCAGAATCGAATGAAATCGCAAACCCAAGGGACAACAGGACTAATGGGACGATGGGTCATAATTTCCAGGAGGAGTAACGCATTGCAGACATGTTTTTTTATCTTAATCGCTCAGTGGAGTGTTGGGAAGGACGATGCAATGATGAGAAAAGTTGCTAAATGCAAAGAAAAACCCACGGAAAAAACGGAAAAACCTTGAAATGTGCTTAGAGGCATTAATAAGAATCGACAGATAAGTTCTCAAAATTACGACCCGAGGCGATTGTTAATGTTTTCGCAATGTTTTTTTTTAGTTCATCCATATTAAAAACAAGAGAATAATTAATGTTTTTTTTTTAGTTCATCCATATTAAAAACAAGAGAATAATTGGACATATTGAAGAATCCAGTGATTATTTTGAGCCTGGAATGTGGGGTGGACGACTTTGGAGCGGAATCAAATCAGCTATCACTAACAGATTATATAGGAAACCTTAAAGGGGAATCGTGTAAATTTTACCATGACTGGTCATTATTTGTCCTTTTTTTTAATTTTAGGAGGTGGAGGAGGCGGTTTCTACTCCAGTGGGAGAAGTTCGCGACAGTTTGGCGGAAGCAAGGGAAATGGTGGAGAAGGTGGCAAAGGATTTCTTCAGGGAGGAGTTGGTGGACGATCCTGGTATAACAACATCGATGGTGGTTTTGGAGGGGGTGCTGGTTCGTATGGAATAGGCGGAGGAGCTGGAGGCGGAGGTGGTTACTCTGGTGGAAGCAGCGGAGATAATGAACATGATTCCTGTGGGGGTGGGGGTGGATCTTTCAATGCTGGAGACGATCAGCAAAAGGAATGTTGCTATCAAACTTCTGGCCACGGTCAAGTGACCATTACTTTATTGAAAATATGAATAGGAACCACCCGTCAGATTGATAGAAAATGAGCTGCCATCCCATTGTTTTTCACCTTTTAGACTTTCCCTCTTTAAGCTCACACTCAATTTTTTCACGTAACTTTCTAACTAGTAGGAGGACTTTATTTTGCTTCACAGAAAGAAAACTGGTACCGTGAAAAATTTAGATAATTGCTGTCTTAAAGTAATATCTTAGGATGGTGCAGTTAAAAAAAATAGACGTTGCACGTGGAAAATGGAACCCTTTAAGCAATCTCTTCAACAGTTTGCAAAATGAATTTTAGTCATATATACTTCGTTAAGGTTTAAACAGTAAACAACGAAATTTCTTACTTCCCAGTGTTTTAGGCTCTGTAGAACAAACATTTTTTTTCTTAATGCATACCTAAAGAATAAAGGCCAATATCATAACCTGTTATTTTCAGTAGTATTGTTATCATTATTATTATTGGTTTCTTTGTTTACTTACTTAGTCCGTGGGCCAGGCCCCCCCAAAAGTGACCTTTCAATACCCCTCTCGGAGACAAATGTTATCATATACTTTTGAAGACTACAATTACTCTAGTTTAATATTATGTTGGAAAGCAGGGCCCTATGGTTAGCTGAACAGGTATTATCATGCAATTAAATGACGTCACCCCCTTTTTAAGAGTTGACAGTAAACAAACGATAACTGTCTAAAACTATTCCTTGGAAGCGCGTTAACCGTTCTTTAATGGTATTTTGTGTATGAAAATGATAGAGGTTTCTCTTAGATGAGTTTTTAAACTTCTGACTTTAAAATTGTTTGAGTTTCAATGTTTTTTCCATGGCAACGCTAAAATGTACTTCGGTGTAATACAAAAATTCTGAATATTTTTGTTTCATGTTTTTTCTCGCAAAATTCTCACCAAGTGGAAGAAGAAAAAAATAAAAGATTCACAGCCAACAGTTCTGTTAGATACCATCGCTACACAGACTACATATGTTCATTATTATCCTCATGCCATCTTGGATCCGCTATGTTGCTTCCGCCATCTCGGATATTATAAAGCGATTACTCTAACACATAGTGAGGCAAAATTGTTTGAAAAAATAAAGCACCGTACGTTTCAAGCAAAAATAGTTGTTGTTCAATCTTCAAACACTGCCTTATGTTCAAGAAGGATACAATTATGACGAGATATTTGAAAAATCAGAGCACTTAAAGTTAATCAATTTGCCTGAATAAGAGGACCCAATTCACAGAGGAATAATGATTACATAATAGTCTCAACTATATTTCAATAGCTTAACAGATAGTTCATTTTTGGTTATTTAATCTTCCCTCATCCCCATTGTCCTCATGCCTCAGAACATTAGTCATCGGGCATTCCTTCCTCTTCCTCCGCAGCTCTATTGTTGTGTTGCCAGTTACGAAAGTGTGAAAAGAAAAGCAACAAGTTTTTCTGGAATATTGATTGCATCCTCTCATAGTTTAGCAGGTTTTGGCGGCCATGAAAATTCTCGATCAGTGCTATTTGAAAGATCTACATCACGCGTGCGCAAGCCGGCCTGCTTAATTTCCTTGATTTTGGAGGCAGTAGTCCTATTGTCTAAGTGCTAAGATCATGATAACGTAGGAAGAACTTGATTGACTTTTAATCAACCGCAAAGTCGTAGGGAGGTTAGGTCATTTTCAATAGCAACTCAGTGTTCCTAATTCTCTTAGACAAGATTTCAAATGGATCTTTGTTTGGAATTAATGGTGAAATAGTAAAACTTTCACTCGTATCAGTGGGAAAGAATTGTCTGTCAGACAGGTAAATCACAAACAAGGCCTGATGATCCCCTAATTGCTATTCCTCTCTGTGCAGAACAGTCACCTCTCCAGCTAGCTGTCTTTAGGTGATTTTTTCGAGAAGCAAGGATGCCCTTTGTTTTAACCGCTTCTCCTTTCATTCCTTTCTCTTTTTTTTCTGCACGATTGCAAGATGGAAACTTCCTTTCACGTTTACCAGGGTTAATGCCAGCTTACAGTAAGAAGGAGCACCTTTACTCACTGTTATATCCGGGTATCTATGGATATTGCAGGCTTGGCTGCTAAGCCTAAGGACGTTTTAGATACGTTGGATCTGCCTACTTTCGGTGTAAACTCTTCTTGTATATTTGAGTCTGTTCCGTTACAGTTAAAGACTTTGCGACACTGCACTCATTCTTGAACTTCCTGAAAATATCTAAGCTCGTTACTTGCAAAGGGTTTTGATGAGTGGTCTTGTCTAAGTAGGACTTTTCGTCAGCTGTCGATGAATGATAACAAATCTGCTGCGAACTTCAAGGTGTCATTTACAGTGGCTAAGCAGAACTCACACTTGACAAAGTCATCACTGCTTTTGCAATTATCAACGCCTGAAATGAGTTTTGTGATCATTTAAATTATCAAGTGGGTACCTTGATAAGAAATGTACATCACGTTCCTGTGCCAGACTGCTCAAAACAAGCTTGCGCTGGCCCAGGATTAATGTAAAGCTACATAGCCTGGCAACATTAGCAATCTAGATATGCCCCTCTCCTCTCTGACTACTTGGAATAAAGACCTATTATCATATGCCCATCGAGCCCTGCTCGCGCAATTCCATTGAAAACCATAATGAAGGTTGACATGTGCAGAGCCAGGAGGGTTGACGTGAGCCGCTTCGGTAAAAGCCGTCCGGCCCCGCTACCCTCGCGTCACTTTGTTGCAAAAACGTAAAGGAAAACAGAAATGCGTCAAAAAGTTGCGTTTTACAAGAAATTGGGAGCTTCTTGTTCTAACTTCAAAAAAATACTGAAAAATATTTAACTGCATAATTTTTTTGTGCTCGTGTGGCTGCGTGTGCTCGTCTATCGTGTCCTGATTAGGTTGAAATTTTCAACACTTAGTAATCATATGATAAAATGCTTATTAACTGAGTTTGGTCGGGCTGGACGGAAAAATATTTTCCTGTTGGTGCTCTCGGTCCGTACGTCATGACGTCGAGCCAAATATTCTTCCGTCTGGCCCTCCAAATCAGTTAATAAGTAAAGGGTGAAAGTTTCTAAAGAAACTGAGGTGCTGCTTCGGTGGGGGTAACAAGGTAAATTGGTTATATCAACAAAGTTGAAATAGTAAATTGGCCACCGTAGTGAATTAAAAAGCTGACATTTCGAGCGTTAACCCTTCGTCAGAGCGACGGAGGGCTAACGCTCGAAAGGTCAGCCTTTTAACTCGTTACGGTGGCGAATTTATTATTTCAATCTCGATCAGTCAATAGGTATATACTCCTCCCTACTTCTCGCTTTTCAGAAAAATTTTTTTTCCTATCTGACGGCTTGATTTCTTTTTTTACTTAAATTCCAACAAATTTGCTGTTGTTCAAGGAGATACCGCTTGAATCCGCCTTGTTTACTACAAAAAGCAGATTCATATTTCTGCTAAACAACACTGTTGTAAAACTTCGACTTATCGGTAAGTGGGTTAGGAAGTAAATAGTGACACTGGCTCTTTGTGGTGACTGGAAGAGGAGAGGGGGTGATCATAAAATCTCCCACTGTCAGTGTGGGGAGGGGGATCAAGAAATATGGGGGTCATGCTTCCTTGTTCCTCCTCCCCCGACGGTAAATAATGACCGGCTCCTAAGTTACGTTAGATCTTTGGCGCAATACCACTACATATAACAACATACAGCCCAAGATGATACTAAATCGGCTTTTGAGATAAAATCGGACCATGTTGATAGGGCTAAACAAAGCTCTCAGTATATAGAACTATAATGTCCCTTTCGTCCTATTTCTATCAGCCATGTAGCCTAACGACTCACTTATTCTTGTCCCTGTTTATATTTTCACCAGAACTGGCTGGTCTTCATGGATCTTCACAAGCACCCCCTTTTAAAAACATAACATAATTCACTTCATCAACAACAAACCTTCACTAAAGATTACTATAAAGCCCATTGCAAGATCAGTTATCATGGGGGGATAAGCTAGTGTACCCGGTCAATTTTAGACATTTTGTGTTTGTGTGTTGTTTCATTTTCCAAAGGCCTATTAGTGATCGACTAATAATCATTGCTCATTGGGATGCATGGAAGATTTTTTTCCAACTCACTTCAGCATTTATTCTCAGTTAGGCGCTTAATTACGTGTTTAAGTCTTCCTTTTTCAGGAAGTTTCCTAGCTTTCTCCACGCTTATCATAAAATCCCAAGCGTATTTGTTTCTGCAAATCACTCAACGACAGGAGGCAACTTAAGTCCTGTTCATGATGACATTGCTGCTTGGGTAGAGGTAAGATATATTCTTTACAATTTTTGCGAACTGCTAAAACTCTCACATTACAAAATTTACTGTTTTAGCATGTAAATTCCAGTTTGCTTTTAAAATGCCTTAAAGAGGTTAATTTTCTCTTTGTTTCCATGTTTTGATTCATTTGAATGGTTTTTCCAGCTTGGACAATTGATGATCTAAGAAATTACGAAAATAAAAGTCTGTGATGTTTACAGTTTAGGTGAAGAATTTGCCCTTGAAGTAGGGCAATCCGGCGTACCTAGGAGGGTCACGTGACACGTCCCGGAATGTCGTAATACAGATTCCGTTTGTTCATTGGTCTCCATAGCGCGAGGAAAACCTCGACAAGATCTTTAGGAGTATTTTGAAAAGCCATTTTCATGTTTCATTCTAGTTTTATCTCATCTAAAAATCATACAGGAAGCCCGGCCGTTTTTTATTTCATTTATTCATTTTTTATTGCACCGCAACTTCTAGGCCCTTTTAAGTAAGAAAAGTACTTATTTGTTTGCAGTAAAAGCAAAGTAATGATCAAGTATATCGAATTTGCAAATTCAAAATATTTTGGCTATTTTTATTTTCCGACGGCATTATTTTGGTAACGCGCTGAGAGGTTGCTTGACATGCATGCACAGATACCGACATTTCCCACTCTTTCCATGCATAACCATACCAGCAGACATTTCGTAAAGATGGGCGATTTTAAATGTGTGCTCTTTTCAGCAATATTCTAAGGAAGAACGTAACCTTTCTGGTCGAAACAAGAGCGTCAGATCTATTTTATTGTGAAGAAATGTTCTTGGAGCACAAAAGAGTACTTGTATGGTTTGGATATATCAACAAAGTTGAAATGGTAAATTGGCCACCGTAACGAATACAAAAGCTGACGTTTCGAGCGTTAGCCCTTCGTCGGAGCGATGTATTGTTATTGTTATTGTTGATATATCCAAATTATTTCGTTACCCCCACCGACGCAGCCCCAAACAGTTTTTTTAGAAACTATCAGCCTTTATTTACTTGTATGGCTGTTTAGCCTCCCGGGAAGGAGTAGAGGAAGACGGTAAATTATGTTTGGGCCGCCGGCGTTGGATTATTCAACGAGTGCGGAGAAGATCTCGCAATTTGTCCCGAGTACAGGAACGAATTTGGCTTGGGATGGGGGCCAAGTAAAGTTTGTAAATATCCTGAGCATCAGAGCAAACAGAAACCGTACAGAGCGATATCCAGGGAGATGTGGAGAAAAATATACTTACCCTTCGGTGTGCTTTGCGAGACTAGACAAGGTATGTTCGGGTCCGGACCCACAGTGGGAGGATATCACGCCCCCAAGTAAGACTGGACTTGTGATGGGGCCACCCTACTAAGGACATTTTTGTTGCGTTAGTATTATGGGATATAGGAACATGTGCTTTTCGCTTGAAGTTAGCAGTCTTTTCGTTGGATTAAAAGGGGTGATTTAAACCGTTGTCGAAAGTTGAAGTTATTTAGTAGTCTGAACAAAACAAGGTAACTCATTGCAATGCTGTGTCGGAATACCGGCTACTTTTTAAAATGAACACAGCATGAGATAAAATATAAGTGTTGTCATGCTTCCGAGTTAAAATAGTTTTATTATTTTGGTTCTCTAGGGATATGTAGGTAATAATTAACTAATTATCTAGCGAAACTGTGCGCTGCTCCGAGGAAACAACTAGTTATACACAGGTAAAATACTTAGTTCTTATTAACCTAGCGGGAGGTCTGTATGGGAGAATCTTGACCGA